GACAAATTTTGGATAGGATTTTGGATCGCACTTCCTTCACCTAACGGTCTCCATGAGGAATGATTCTTAGAAATGACTAACTGTAATGTCCAACCAGTCACAAAGAAGGATGGTAATGGGCTGGGTAAAAAGCATCCATTTTGGTCCAATATGTTCCAATTAAGGACTTATTTGTATGAAATGTTAAATATAAATACCAAAATAACTTCATACAAATGGATTGGGGATTAAAATGTAAAATACTATTTTTAACATTTACGGGCTGGGAATGATCTACTAGCCTAACCTGAGCATGATACTCATGCATGACTTTATCTCTATTTGTTCAACCCATCAAGTAGGCTTTTAATGGGCCTTCAGCCCATGTTTTCATTTTTTACTTCAAAAATAGAGAGGTAAAAAAAGAACATAAATGCTGCAGAAAGGATGTCAACGAGGAATACCGGGTTGAATTTTTTAATATTTATATTTTATTTATTATTTATTGAGTAAAAAAATTCTAGATGTCTATAAATTATTCATTGAATTTCATATATTCAATGTGTATTTATTATCTATTATTTTATTATTAATTAATAAAAACTAAATAGTTAATACATGTTTAAAATATGTATTTTTATATTAAATCATTAAATTGATACATATTATATATCTGGGTCGGTATTCATTTGATTATTAAATTGATATTCTTACTTATAGGGCATTTTTGGAAAGAAAAAGAGAAATGAGAATTCAACAGTAATAGGAAAATAGAAGGTGGTGGTTTTTTCTTCTTTTGATGAGATGAACTCTTGGGAAATTAAAATAAATTAGATGAAATTATTACGCAAACGTCTTTGGAAAATCACAATGTAGTACTTGACACATTATCCCATTATAAATTAATAACTTTTGATCTTATCATTTTCATCTCAAATAATGTCACTCCTAAATCCATCTATCATTGCAAGTGATATTCAAATATTTCCTTCAATTTCAATTTGCATGTGTTTGTTAAGTATTTTCATTAAAATCAATGAATAAACATCAATACAATATATTGAATAAAAAAAAAAGGTTGCTTATGATGCCAAACCATGCCTAGCCTAAAAATCCCATGTGACATGACCCATCTATCTATACTTTTTTAGTTATCCCAAAATCCCACTATTGAAGATAACTTATCTCGATGTACAAGAGCATTTGATTACTTGAACTTAAATATAAAAATGATACAGTGATAGAACCTACCGAACTTAAAAATTATTTAAAAATATGATGGTGATTATTTTTTAATATATTTTTCATTTAAAAATATTATAAATAAATTTTAGCCAACTCTCATGTAAAATTTAATATCAAACAAGAGCTTAAAAGAAAACTCAAATTGCAATGAAATATGGACCTTCTCATATTGGATTTACTTACCTCACTAGATCTTTAAAAATTAAAGGGTCAATTTAAAATCTTGAAGATATATTAGCTTGTCGTGTTGTTAACCTTTCTCATTCAACTTGAAAAATTTTATTCAGGTTATTAAAAAGATATTTTGAAGTTAATCTATTTGACACACTTAATTCAACTTATTACCAAGTTAACTTGGTTAAAATTAATTTGATATTTTTAAAATTAATTATTAATGTTTTTAAAAAATAATTAAAATATCATTTTGATTAGCTAAAATTAACTTCAACGACACACATGGACTTGATTTTAAGGATAAGATCCAACATAGAAAAAAGATATGGGTCAATTCTGTAAAACATGGAAGTGAATTGGTTAGTCTTATTTAATGGGACTTTTCAAAATTATATATCTACTTATTGTCGATGTGTTCAATTAAGATTTAATCCAATTTTTTATAGCTTGAAATGCAGCCTAAACAGACATGTAAGAGAGTGTGGAACCTAGGATTGCGAGTGGATATATATTAAGCTAAAGTGGGATTGTGACATTTCTGTATTATGTATCTTTGTTGGTATTTTATGTGTGTGTGTGGACAAGGACTTCATTTTCCAAGTATAATATAAGTGGCATACAATGGAGTACCAACTAAGCACCAAAAGTTTTCCTTAACTTCATAAAATCTTTATATAAAGCCTATAAAAAAAATTATTAATTATAATCCCGAATAAATTAAATATAAAAGGGTCAAATTAAAAATTAAAAAAATGAAATGAAGGATATAAAAGAGAAATGGGCTTAATCTTTCCCCCACCGTTGGATCACATACGTTGAAAAAGAATCTAAATATTTATCAATTATTCAGTTTTGGTTCTCGTATCTTTACTTGTTTTATATTAGCAAATTCGTATTTAGTTCTGCGAAAGGGCATCATCAATCAAGAGGAGGGTTTGTTCATCGACACTCAAGAACACAATACCATGACAACCAAAACCAATAAAAAAAAGGTAGAGTATCATGGGGCTTGGTCTAGCAGTGAAAAAAGTTTATTTTTTTCTATAACACATGGGTTCGAGCCCTGACGTGCATGCCTGTCACCCCCACAGTATTTTATATGCCTACTAGATTTACAGAGTATTTAGTGGGCCGTGGAGATTAGTCATGGTGCAAGCAAGCTAGTCCGAACACCTCATGTAAATAAAAAAAAAAAAAAAATCCAAAATGAATCTAATATAAAAGAGTTTACAGAGTATTCAGTGGACCGTGGAGATTAGTCATGGTGCAAGCAAGCTGGCCCCAACACCTCACGTAAATAAAAAAAAAAAAAAAGGTAAAATCCAAAATGAATCTAGTGGAGATTAGTCATGGTGCAAGCAAGCTGGCCCCAACACCTCACGTAAATAAAAAAAAAAAAAAAGGTAAAATCCAAAATGAATCTAATGTAAAAAAATTAAATTAAAAAAAAATGATAACCAGAGAAAACAAATCATTTTTGCACGGAACACTGATTTTCAAGGAGAGAAAGTGCAAATTTCCCTACTCCATTAGTTTCTTTTAATTTTGGTGGTTGGTATTTGTAATTGTTTTTCCAATTTTATATACATTAGTTGTTAATGTTAGAAAACAAAAAAAAATTGGATTTAATATCCATTATGAATATTAATTTAACCACAAATATAAGATAAAAATATATTTTTTCATCATTTTTATATTAGTTAACATTTATTAAGAATTGAATTTATAATATTTGATATATATCATAACATCATAGCTATCAAATACAGTCAAATTATTGATTCATCACCTAACTTATGTTGAGTGTCAAAAATAAAAAATAAAAAAAATCTAGAATCGACTCCATTTGACTTATTTAACCTAATTAGATTATAGATAAGATATAGATAAAATCAAGATTAATTTCTATATAACACATTACTATCAATTATTGAGGCAAAGATATATTTAATACAAAGTTAATATCACAAAAGGACCATAAGTGGCCTTTCAGGTAGCTAAAATCCCTATTATTTTCATATTTTATATATATATATATAGACACATATATTATTTTTTTATAATTCAAGGTGTTTGAATCAACTTATACATATTATGACTAATTTTTAAATTTAATGTAATATTGTGCAAATTTAATAGGCAGATAAAATGCTACAGAAATAATAAATATATATAAAAAAATAATTAAATTCAAGTACAGAAAAAAAAGATAAGTATGTTTCCTGTTTCCCCACTTCGGCATAAACTTTTTCTCTCTCTCTATATATAATATATATATATATATATATATTAGGAGACTCGGTGGTTGAATTTTTGATATCAAT